TATATATATATATAAATATAATCAGTGAAATCTTGGGCTGAAGAGCTGTGTTTAAGTAGCACAACATGATAGGCAGTTTAAACCGTAACCGACGAAGATATAAGTGAATCACTCGGCCAATAATGGTCCGAATTTACCCAATATCGCAGGAATTGAACTGCGCTAACCAGTTCAAGTAATAAGAACGATCAGCGGCTGTTGACATCAGTTATAGTAAGTGAAACAAAATTCTACCCGACCACTTGAACTTCTTACTCAATAGTACGATTGTTCCAAGCACCTTGGCGTAAGACAAACGAGACACAGAAGCTCTGTTCAAGTCCTTACTACAAAAGCGCTTCTCTCGTAGGATCACAAGAGACGAAAGATGAAACATATTCTGAACGCTTAAATGAAGCGACGATCTGGCTCCTGAAAATTGCTACTGTTGTCACAAAGCGGGGAAAACGCTTAAGACGCATTAATTAGCAAGGATATACTGGAAACGTCTTTCGACTCAATAGGAATTTATGACACAAGGACCAAGTAAATAAACACATCCACGACCGTCTATGCGAATTACTTCGTGGTCTCTTTCAAGTTCTTTTGCCATATCCTCCAAACCCAACATCGCACTGTGAGATTTTTCTCGATCTCCTCTTGAAACCACAGCTATGTGGCGTAAAACAGATAACATGATTGTCATTTTATAAGTTGTGGTAAATTGCTCTCAATTACTTTCAGAAGTGATTCCAACATCTATACGAAAATTGGCAGAAATTCAAAGCTGTCTACAGAACTTTTAAGAGAAAATGTGAATCTGTGTGTCTGAAAAAGTTTGCACAAGGATGTAACTAAAACATAGTTACCGAACTTAATGGTTGTAGTACTAGTTTTTATCTATGGTATATTGAGAAAACAAATACAATGATGCTTCCTTGTTTATTCTTAAAAATTGTTTTGCAAAAAATGAGTTAAACAAATTCGTTTGTGTTTGATTCTTATGTATGCTGAGTGATCTTTGCCCACCGATT